CAGAATTGCATACAAATCTTTGTTCCATTTGTTTAATCATTAAACTTTAAAGCATACGTACAGTACAATGAATACAATGAAAACTTATGCGACATCTCTCAACGGATTTAAACAAATCTATAATTAAAAATATTTTTAAAAAACTAACCAACTTAAAATGATTTGCCTTTAAGAGTTTACTGCATTCAGTAATGAAAATTTGAATTTCAAATGAATAATATTCTACAATATTAATATAGTATTTCAAAGATTCTAAAGTTATATATAAAGTAATGTAATATTATCTATAATGTTAGCGTTTATATAAAAAAGAAAATTAGATCTAAATCAAACATATTTTATTTTATTAGAATTATTTGTATATCTTATATACAGATTTCATGCATTGTTTAACAGTAATAACTTATTTAGCAGTTATTATATGACATAATGAATTGAATGAAAATATATTATTCTAATACTGCTTTATACTGTAAACATCACATGCATTATTTTTATCTTGCTTTTAATCTGATTCTAAGTCTCTATTTCATTAATCTTTTTAGAAAAATTTTCTAATTGTTAATCCATTTGCAATACATTTGACTGTATTTTCAATTGAATACCATATCTGGAAATCACTTTCTCACCGATAGATAAGGAAATAAAATTATCAAATAATATCTAAAACACAGTAANAGCAAAAGTTGAAAAATATTTAGGACATGAGAGATTTTAATGTTTTTCAGTTGACTTTTTAACTAAAATATCTATTTTGGTCCCAGGTGGTTGTAACTTAACTATTCAAATTATATTAAAAGTTTTTTTTTATAAAGTTGTAATCTTAATTAGCCAAATAGCATTAAACTACTACTGACTGATATTGATTAGTTTATTTTAACAAATTGATTTATCTACCTTAATTCATTTCAATTTCAAAATAACTATTACATTGTAGATCAAATCATTTATAAATTACCATGCATCACATATTTTACAGCATACTACAGCTTTTTTTAGAATTCTAAACCCATAATATATTATAGAACTTGTAGAATTGATAACAACTTGTAAGCTATAGCTTTAATTAATACAGTATTTAAGGTTTTTAAAACATTTTGAAAAACTTAATTTGTCAAAAATCAAAGCAGAAACAATTGGTAATTTGTATAAACAACAGTAAGATTGTTTTTACTACGTTAAGATTGAAAGAAATATTTATAATACATACTCATAATATTCTTCTGAATTACGAGCACAGAAAGCAATTGAACAAGGTTCATGTATTGCATTAAAGAATTATTTTAAGTAAAACTTCACACAGGTTTTACTTGAAAAAGTGATATTTTGTGAATTTATAAAGAAAATTATATAAGTGTTGAGAACAGCATTAATCATAAAAGAGATAAGAGTGAGAAAAGTAATAAAAGAGTTAAAAAAATAATATTTAGTTTTCACCGAAAGAAGTGAATTGCTACAAATTAGTAATTACGAGATTCTTACCATTTCTCGATGATTGGGATAAAATGTTTGCTCTATTAGTGGAAAATTTTCTTTCCCCAACCGTTTTTGAATACCAATTAAGTGGGAAAACTAGAAATTATTAATTCAAACATTAATGCAATTTAGACACGTTTGACAGCATTTTAATGATTATATAATTCTATAACATACACTATAGTGCAAGCTATTTTGGAAATTTATTTTTTAATTTAATAAAAATTTGTATTAATACTTACAACCCATGGTCTGTCTTGAAAATTGTATGCTATAAGGTTTAAAAATATAATGAACACACAATAGTTGTTGTGATTATTTAATAGAAACAAACCCTGACTACAGTTGGGAAGAGTTTTGACATTTCCAAAGGCCAGACCTAATAAGATATCTCTATAGTCCTCACGAACACAGCGGATGTGTTGACGAATTAAGACAAAGTCTGGTCGAAATGATCTGTTAATTATATAAATTGAATTGAATGTGAATGAGTTATCAAATGATGAATAGTAGAGGCATTCATACCGCGCAACCTTTGAACCGCTTCTATCATAACCAATAATACTGACAACACTTCCAGAATCAGAACTGGAGGCTAACGTGAGGTCCCGAAACTCTGCCTGTTTTCACACATTTCTATTGATTAAGCAAGCACATTTTAAATATTACGATTTAATACCTGTTCCACTCTAATATCCCATTCCCCCTGCAATCGTTTTCCTCGAAAGTATTTGGACCTAACAATGAGTTTGAGGATTTAGAAACAAAATGAATCGAAAGGCATTGAGTGACAAACCAATCGGTCTGGTGGTCGTCGATCACTAATAGGATCTTTTGTCTGTCTTTATTGGTAGCGGTTCTGGCGATCTGTTGAACCGTCGAAGTGACGCTTCCGGTCAAAGATGTGGCTCGAGATAAGAAGGACGAGACCCCGGAATGATGTGGTGATGTCGGGGCACTCGTCGTATTACTTCCTCGGAAGTTGAGAGTCAGATCAGATGATTGCGACACTGAATGAGTTGGGACTGGATTAGAGTCTGTCTTTGTTTGTGGTCCAGAAGGTTGTCCTTCATTTTCCTAAAATTTTTCAAATAAATTACATGTATTTAAGAATTACTTTATTTGAGTGTCTATGTCTACATACAGTATTCAGTGTTATAATCACTGCAAACAGTGAATTAAATAGAAATAATTTTGGGACATATAATCAAAGAGAGAAAGTGATGACTGCCTACCAATTCATCTTCAAATCCTTCTCCTGAAAGGTCTCCCGAAGAGAATCGCCTCTTAAGGAAATTAGTAGTCGAGGCGAAACTCTGGCGAAACGTTGAGAAAGAAATTTTGGCGGTATTTGTCGACTACTTATGCGATAATTGAGACCAATTTGTGTCAAGTTGTATTGTTATCAGATTGAGATGATCTTTACAATAAATTAATCATTAATTTCTTGATCGATGATTTAGTTTTCAATTTAATTGTTAGATTTAGTAAAAAGCCAACAAAACAGACATTTTGTTTGTAAAGTCTTGCTATGAATGGCAAAGCATTTATTGATTCCTATCGAAGACTTGCGTAATGCTATCTCTGCGGCCAATAATGTCTGACTTTACTTCATAGGCTTCCCTATTGTAGTAATCGATCACATATTCTGTGGTTTATATTCTGTTAAAATATTTTTGTAGAAAACAATCATAATTTTATGCCATGATTAAACTATTTTAATATAATTCTAGATCTTGATGCAATTTA